CGGCATTAATTGCCAGAGATAATAATATTCATGACGAAGACGAGCACTGTCATATATTTCGCTAAATATTTGAATACTTTGATTGCTTCAATTAACAACCGTCAATTTTTCGGATAAAGCTTTTAAAATATTTTATATCACTGTAAAATGCTTCGCAAGCTGTATATGAGTACATATATCGTCCTTTTGTAACTAATTGTGACTTATGGAAATCGAATATTCAACGATTTGATTATTTTTCAAGTTGTAAAGATATAATAATATTTTATATCGCATATACGTATTGTTATAAGAAATTATAAACATGCATTAATTAAATTCTCGAAATGATATTAAAGGATTACTATACGTTCCCAGATCTTCTCATAATATAATATAATGTATGAGTATATGTTTTCTACCTTTCCGAACATCCAGATCAATTAGTCATCAGGCAGAGAATTTAAGAAGAAAAGACGGATAGGTTGCAAGGATTAACAAGGCTGCTCCATATGATGAAATTCCACGCATTTCCATACAAATCAAATCGCAAAAAAAGCCTTCATGAGTTCCATGTATCTTGTGTAAAATCTAAGCGCCGAAGATTTTATATTCCATCCGTTGACAGCCATATTTCTCCCCATAATTTGCGGAGACACGCTCTTATTATACGAGCACTTTTTTTGTTCTACCAGCGGGGACAGCCGCGCCACGTACGCAAGGTCGTCTCTCGGGAATGTCCTTATTACTCTCGACGTCGCCGAGTGCACGCGCATACTTCCTCTCTCTCTCGTCCCTATCTCTCTCTTTCGCGCTCGCTTTTTTTCCAATTTTTTTTTCAATCGATGCGACGCAATGTGATCGACTATATCGTACCTATCACTAGACATTGGACGCAACTTCGACGACTTTTGCGAGAATCGTAGATATCTCGGCGTGTGTTGCGCCTTCGGGGGGATATCTCAATATCATTTAAAGTTTAAATAAAACGCCATTGCGCGAACTCGAGATATGTCTCGTACTGAATATAAAAAAAAAATTTATCGCGCGGAACGCTGTCTCGAGAAGCCATACTCGTTTTCATAAACTTCTGTGTGTTTACCGTCGCCATCCCGCCGCGAGATTCTCCCCTCGCGACGTTTCCTCGTCGCGGCGGGCGAAGCCGCATTTGAACTTTGTGATATCACTCGTATCGATCGTATCCAGAGCAGCTGGGAAACTTTGTTACCGGCTCTGTCAGCGCGTATCCGTTCCATGGTGTACGCTAAGGCGACATTATGCCCGATTCATATGCCTCGTCACGTTTCTCCTTTTCTATGTCCTGCGACACGATCGGCGCGCACGACAGCTTCCTCTTTCCTCTCTCTCCCCCCCCCCCTCACCCCTTTCGGGGGAAATACGCCTTTCGCGGTACCAGTTCCTCACTCTACGCCGGGTCTCCGTTTCTGTCGCGTAGATACGCGAAGGAGATCGAAATTCAAACGTAGGATATAATGGGGCGATTTCGCCTTGAAACGTCAAGTGGAAATTCTCCTTCCGCCGGATATTGCTCGGCGGTCGATTGATCATCTTTGGAAACGAGGGAGGAGAGGGGTGGGGGGAGGGTATGCGATTGAAAGCGCAACTTTTCCCGATGCCTGACTCAAAAGCGGCAGTAACGCGTTGCTTTAAGGGCTGTTTGCGCTGAAGCGGCAAAGAACGACCATGCGTTTCGTACATTTTTCAATGCACGAAATAGGTATAGACGCGATCGTGTTTTGACGTTTGATCGTTCAATGGTGACGACAGTTGGGTAAAATCTGGATTTTTTGAATAATATAATGTTACTGTGAGACTAAAAAATTATATGTGTACCGAGTAAATGACAAATATGTTCTGCACGGAGATAATTTTCCAGTGGTGTCAAGCAATTTCCTCATTCACCCTATGCGTGTTTCGTGTCGTTTTTCAATTATATATTTGAATAGCTACAGCTATAGCGTACGCTTAAATTAACGATAATTATATATTTAGATTACATATCCGAGCGTTATATGATCCGTAATTAACGTAAGATAATTGACATGTGATATTCGGTCATATATTACAGGACATTCCTCCGCATGACATAATAATATTCTCACCTCGCATTGCCGCTACCTCACCGGAGGGTGAACAAATTACCGCCGCGATTTTTTACGACGTTTATAATTGCGGAACGCAAGCGCGGAACCCAACTTTAATTTCACCGCGCGCGTGTCCGTTGTCAGCAAACTGCGGGCCATCAGTTTGATTGCATTAATCCCGAAATTGCCGCATCCGCCACGTCCGAATGCTATTTGTCGGATAACGCGTTTATGCGCGACGTGTCGCGTGTGATTTAGCTATAATCCGAATCCGCGTTTCTCTTCCGCGAGGTCTTCCCCGCACGGGAATATATCATTATACTGAATCTGATTTATGGAGATTTCTGGATTCGTCCCAGAAATCTTGCGTGTCACAACTTCGATACGCGCGAACTTTTTCTTTTTCCCGCGTCCCCTCTTCTAATAAAATATATTTCTACGCGCGTTCGGACGTTGTAATATTGAATTAACGTATACAAGCTGTCACACGTGTACCGCAAAATAACAAGAATTCGATAATAATGCGATAACAATTGAAGCACCCCCGATGGACGATATTACGCGTGATTCTGTATTTGTAATGTAATTGCATCCCTTGCATTATGCCGCGTAAAACGTTCTCCAATTCACCAGCGTATCGCCGGCAATGCGCGCCGCGAAATTAGTCGAGCGCCAACATTAATCTATCCGCCCTGTGAAAATCATGATATCAAACATTAACAAGTCTGACGGCTCTTTTAACAGCGAGTGCTTTCGACGCGCGTTACGCTCCAAATGAATGACACGCTAAAATGAAAGTTCGGTCGTTTCCCGTTCGCCTTTTATTCGCGCGTGCAACGGTGATCAATATCGGGTAATACGTTTCCGTATAGCGCGCGCGGATTTTTGTATTAATAGCGATATTGGCGATTGTTGTGAGACAGCGAGATATTAACGACGGTAATAATAATAATGGTTTGTTTTTACGTATTGGCATTCACAAATTTAATTAACGGAAGATACAAAATTTCGGCGCGTATATATACGCTTTACATTAATTAATTCGTGAATCACTTCAATTGGATATATCATAACTGCAACGATTGAATGTTACATCACCATTTTACAGTTTATGTATTAACTTCAATCACGACGTTAATTTGTAAATAAGATTTGCGCGTCTTTTTCAATTAAAAAAACTGAATATTTAAGGCTACTTAAATATTTGCAGACGTTTCTTTATTATTAAGTTTTCAATTATCACGGCTCTAAACAAATGATTTAATGTGTGTGTGTTTTTTTTGAGTGTGTGCGCACATACATAAATTTACGCATCACAGAGATGTCTAAATTAGAACGGAGTAACAAAACGGTACCTCCTTGGCGCTCATTCCATCGGCGAAACCATTACAAAAGGATTTTGTCCTTTGCATCCGTCTTTAAGCCTACTCAAGCATTTATATACGTAGACGACATCCCCGATTAATTTACGTGTTCCTGACGCGCGACTTTGAATTCTAGATGGGGAGCACACAGTACCCGTTTTCGACTTTATCTTCCCTCTCTCGTTATAACCGTCCGGAGGGGCACAAATCGCCGAGAGTGGTATTCGTTTAATTAGTTGCAGCAGAGGCAAGCAAAGGCAAAGCGTTATCGGAATAAATTAATTATTAGCTGAAATTACCGAATAATTAAATTTTTAAAAAATTGTTAAGGAGAGCTTTTAATTTAATCTTATCACTGCGAGATGTTGGTTCGTTTTTTATTCCGTCTGAACATAAAGATTTTTAGATTTCGAGAAATCTCTCACAAGAATTTCACGTGAGTACTAGTTGTATTGATCGTAACGAGATATAAAGCATGTTGTTACACGAAACATTCTCATATCTAACACGAGTCATACGAAACGCCTGGCAACAAATCACGCGAAGGACACTTTTTCCACTCCGACCCTTACTTTGTTACTTTACTTGCACCGATAAATCCGTCGCGCGAGGTTACCACCGGCCCCATCCTTTTTTTTCCTTCCAACGGACGCGAACAACTCGCCCCCCTTTTCTCTCCCGACACGACAACCAACATCTCTCTTCGTAATAAACATCGGGCAGCAGCCGTAGGGAAATGTCGGCAAATCGCAGTCGGGGGCCGCGCGTGCATAGGTAACAATGGTTGACGGTGGACAAAGGAATCCACTATCAATAGGGCGACCCCTCCGTCCGTCTGACAATTAACCCCATCGAATTCTCGGTTCCCCACTTTCTTGAAAATCGACGCGCGCCTCTCGCCTCGAGAGGGCTGCTCGCACCCCTGACAATAAAGAAACATTTTTGGCCGGTTTCCAGGTTTCCGGTTTGAATAAATGCACACGTCAATTTTCTATGGTTATTGAAATCATTTTTTTTACGTCTATCGATTCGCTTCTTTTTCGCGTCATAAAAAATTAATCTTCCAGAAGAAAGAGTGCTTAGATAAAATCAATCTTTTGATAAAAAAAAATTGATTTCAATTGAACTAATTATGACGTTTAATAACATTAATCTAATTGCGCAATTTCATCTGTGCCACTCGAAGTTTACATAAAAAAATATACACTTTATCCGCGATCGCGACATGTTTGCCAATACTCTACTTCAAATGTAGACAATGGATTTCGATATCAATGGGCGTATATACGCAGCCCCTATCTGTTCGATAATTAACTTCTGGCTTAGGGGCTGTTTGAGTTTGGGAGTTCGTGTGGAGTTCGTATGAGACGATTTATAATAGCAGGTTTTAATTATATCGAGCTCTGTCTTCCTATTAAAGATCAAAGAGCATCAGATAATTACGCGTCACTTGATTTGTATCCGGTTGTGCCCAGAAAGTTTAAATAAATTAAATGTTGTTCGGTTTCTTAAATTTATATCGCGAAGCTGGTTTAGAATTTGCCGTTGTTACCTGTGCATCTGCAAGGATGCGCCGCATCAAGGCCAAGGTGGGGTGCGTTGTGAGATCATTTTGAAGGGCAAGCGCCTCGCCTTCCTTGTTCAAACGATTCAAAGTCTTCAGAGCTGCAATCAGAGGAAAAAAAATCAATTGCAAATGCTGTAGTAGTATTAGGCTGTAAAACTTGCCTATCTGTTAGTCTCATAGAAAAGTCTTAAGCTTTGAAATACACGTTTCTCGTAGGAAACATTCGGCAGAAAGAGACGTTGTTAACATCGGCATTACAGTGTTTTACAGCTCATTCAGGAGTCGTAATGTGCGATTTGGCGGCAAGTGACCGAGCTTTGCGGAAATTGTTGGCACGTGAAGGGTACTCGCGCGGGTATGTGCGCCATTGGGTCGCGTTAATCCTTTCATCCGAGACACGCGAGGAGTCAGAGAATTCCCAAGCCCGGACCCACCAAGATGGCCGGTCTCTCCCCGGCTCGTTCGTCTCGTATTATCTTCACCCGGCCCGGTGGTTCGAACGGCGGGATAATTGAATTCCCGTGGTAGTCGGTGGTCGTGGCGCGAAGGTGGAAAGGCCGGAGGCGAGAGAGAGAGAGAGAGAGAGAGGGGGGGGAGGGTTTGCCAAACTGTTATCGACAAGTTCGTGAGAGGAGCTCGTTTTGCAAAGGTGCCCGAGTAAGCTCAGGGATAGACACGCGCCTTCGACACTACCACGATATCGCGCGAAAGCTACGTGCTTCGGCGTAGAGCTCTTAAAAGATGGAAGTACGTGATGCTCTACTTTGACCCATTTTGTTATACTTTCGAACCCGATGCGGAATTAGAAGTTTAGGCGCATGAGTTGCGTCCGCGCTACGTGATCACAGGCTTAAACAGAATTGACAGGAGAATTTTGCTCCGTTCCAAAAGGTTCGTTTTTGTCGCTTTCATCAAACCGCCGCACACCGCCGTCGTCAAAGGAAAACGGGTAAGTGCATCCTGACAAACGATCAGACTTCCCTGCAGAGATAGAGATAGTGAGAGTAGCGGTGGAATTATAATGCCGAATAATAAATTCTGGAACTCTCCGTGAGAGCTTAAACGCAAATTTAGCGAGATGCATATGTAGCCGGTGATGCGATGTCGGCTTTGATGTGGCGTAAGCAAAATTCGAGGCGGATCCGTAAACCGCACGACGCAGGTATATATTACTATAACGAGTCTCGTTAAAAATGCATTTTGACTTTAAAAGCGGGACTGAGATACGCGACGGGGAGTTTCAAATTTGCGCGATTAACGCTACATTGAGCAGTACGAAAGTATATGCGGCCGGTTTGAAATCTCTCGCAAATTCATCGGAAAATATTAAATCGTCCAAAGCCAATCGTGGACCACGCGAGAGCGTATAATTGCATTAACGGCGTGTTTTGCCGCTATCACGCGCCGCTGCTACTTGATGATAATTTAACGATGTTTATCGTTAATCCAATTTTAATCGTGCGCACGATTTTTCGTACAAACGTGCCAACGAAGCGCTTCAAAGTTTTAATCTAAGCGCGAGAACAAATTTGCCACTCTGTCGCGTAAATCGATATCGCGACGGAGACGGCATCGGGGACGATTAGAGTATTATTTGTTGCGCCGGAGTTGCAATTAAGCGTAATTAAACTGCCGCTTGTGCCAGCGCGGAAGACCTGGACTACACCGGAGAAACATGTTTTATCGACAAGTCTTGTTTGTTGAAGACAAAGGTCTCTCTCTTGTCGATAAGATACGAATCCTAGATCGTCTTTCGAGCAGATCCTCGGGCGCCCTGCAAAGTCCTAGAAGGTTGAGCGTATTATCACCAGATCTCGAGAAACAACTGGTCGTAAAATTGCTTCTCGCCTATGAAGATCGAGGGAAATTGAACTTTACAAAGATGGAATTAAATGTATCCTCAAAGTAAACAAAAAAAATGAGATAACTTAGCTGCAGCTGTGTCATTTTACAGAATATCAGATCACTGTCTACTTATCATTTTCTTCAAAATTAAATACAGATAAAAATAAATTACAATGTAAAAAGTATCTACATTGAAAAGAAAGTATTGAGCAATTTTAACGTTATACATTTACGAGTTAAAAAAAAAGATTAACAATCTTTTCGATTTCGATCAATTATCGTCAACTCGAATTTCTGTTTGACATCTTTAAACCGATTGATGAGCGAGTGTGCAGAAAAAAAACACGCTCGAATAAGTAGATCGGCAGAAATCCTTTTCCCTCACGGAAGTCTGATCTCGAGATTGTAGCGGTTCTCTTCAAACACAGCAGGAAGCACTCTCACATCAGAAACGTCGAGCATCCTTACCGAATAATCTCGCGCGATCATTACTACCCTAACTAAAAGAAGGAAACTCGGTAGTTCTTCGTGCCGGAGATTTTCGATTAAACGGCTGCACACTTCCGCATTAAAGATTAAACCATAATTGTTCGTAGCACGCTTTTCGCAAGGTAACTTCACGCAAAAAAATATGTACGTTTCAAATTTTCACGAACGTGGGTTAGGGAAATTAATTATTTGTTTAAATAAAAAAAAACGCGTAATAAATTTTAAATTATTCAGCAACCGATATTTTCAAAAAAAAGGTTCAGCTTTAATTGTAAACAAAAAAAAAACGTTTTGTCTGTTAGATCGTCAAATTTCATAACTTTTATGCATTTACTCCATCGAATTTATATCATTATATAGTAAAAGTATTTTCAAAAAAAGGTTCAGCTTTTATGAACAAAAAATAAACATTTTGTCGGTTAGATTGTCAAATTTCAAAAGTTTTATGCATTTACTCCATCGAATTTATATCATTATATCATAAAGAAAGGTGTCAAACTGACTCGCTGACTCAGTTCGTTTCATAAATTTCCCAAAACTCGCGTTTACGGCGCTCTCGCAAAGCCGGCGAACGCGGAATGAATCAGCACGTCGACACGAGCCACCGAAACGATAAATCTCGCGTGCAAACGCGAGGCGAAAACGTGCTCTCGCGAAAGTAGGCGACCGCGCTGAAATATTCCGCGCGATGTCGATACGACAACGCTTGGCCGCGTTGTAGCGTCCTCGCCTCGGCACACCTATATAGCCCCGGTTCGCGATATACGCGCGTCAGAGTGCACGGCGAGAGCGGTTCATGGGTTGCTCCTGGATGGTCCTTCCAGGTCGGGGGTATATAGGTCTACGGCAAACACGGGCGAGAAGTAGATACGCCTCCGCCGTTTCCTCGGCGCAGCAGGGGAGTTGCGGGAACGCCGTACTGATATACGGCGCGCACCCGATATTATGCGCCTCCCGTGTGTCGGAAGCGAGATTCTTTATGAGGCTTTACACCGACTCGGAACTGTCGAGGTCGGCTAATGCGAAACAGGAGCCCCCTTTATGGAACGTTCGGCGTACAGATAAAGCAATACTGGATGGCGCATCGTTTGCGGAGGCTCGGTAAGAGGGACGTTTTACGACGGGAGTTGTTGGTTCAACGTTAGTCTTCTGGTGCCCGAATAATTGTACATCGAGAGAATCGAGCACACACGCGGATGCACATCGGCTGATATCGGATTGGAGGTAAAGAACGCGTCGACGATTAGACCACGCGTCATTTACATAATGCATTATGCGAACGCTAAGATTTCGCGTGTGATTTCACGTTTAAAATGCAGCGCGGCGGTCGCAAATCATAACCGCGACACGTATCATTCCGCGACTTCCGGGACAACCGAGACGTGTGTGGTGCGTTACGACCTTTCGGGTCCGCTATCTATCACGTCTTGCAATTCTAACTTTCTCGACGTCGACGGAAAACGAATGAATGACTGGTCTGACAAGTAATGAAAGTTAAATCTGCGCATGCAGGAGCGCAGAATCGCATAAATCTTGCAGGGAAATTAACGGCGGCTGAATTGACAGGCTGGCTATTGTATCGACGCGCGAATCCATCCCACTTGTTGTAAAATTGAAATTCTTTTTTCTCTCGCGTTTCAACGCCCAGTACAGTTCCGTGTGTGTTAATAGCGAACGAGAATTTTTGTAATAATCGCGCTCAATTCGCGGAAACGTATTCCGATTGCATGATGCGCATCTTAATGCATGCCCGACATATCGCAACGAGTTCGCCCGTAATCCTCGAGACACCGGGTACCAGAATTACCTTGTGCTTAATGTATATATCCGGCAGAGCGCATAGTTTACCGGTATGACTTCCGTACAGCGGCGCGTACACAGCGCGCTGGAAACAGGATTAATGGATTAGCGATGTTTTGAATTACAAGCGAAGTGTAAGCGGGGCAAATATTCTCTCTCTCTCTCTCTCTCTCTCTCTCTCACTCACTCACTCACTCACTCACTCACTTACTCACTCACTAACTCTCTCTCCAATTAGAGCGAAATTCTACGGCAGTAGAATACGAAGCTTCAAGTTACGGCGGAATCGGCGCACCTGCAGGAACCCCCGAGAGCCGTCTCGGGGTGAGCCTTTATAAATGCAGACTATTCCGCCGCACGCTCGCAAAACGGAAGATCATTCATTTTACATAAGATACGAATCTGTCATCCGAATATTAAGACAGAAGAAATAGATGAAGTTTGAAACGTTATATTATATTATTATAACCATAGCCACTGCACCGAAGGAACAATTTTACTGGAGGGACTAACAAATTTTGCTAAATATAATTCTGTCGGACCATCAAAATAATTTTGCCGGAAATTCAAACTGATTGTTAGAATATCAAAACGTTTTACAGAAATGTTCGCTCATCATTCTGAGTTTCCAAATAAAATTGTTTTGATGGTCCAACAAAATTGTTTTCGGATCTATAACCAGCCTAGCTGTAACCAAATTTTTAGACCTTCCAGCAAAATCATTTCTTCCGTGTGTAAATAGAAAAATCTCAAAGCGGAATTCTCTCTTACGCACAGAGAGAATTTTTTATTTCGTATCGCGCTGTCAATCAGAAATATATCGAGGTCGAGGCAGACTGCAACAAGGAATGACCCAATGTATAGTTTGTTAGGCTGATGTTGCAGCGTCCACTCTGCAGTGAAAGCGAGATTCTTTATGGTTTATTACCCGTTGGAAACATATCGAGCCTGCCGCGAGGATACATGTAGTGCAGACACGAAGTAGACACGAGCGATATGTACATGGCAATAAAAGTCATAACAGGATATGATGCATTATATATATGATATATGCAGTGTCGCGACGCGTTACCATCAAGCCATGTGACCCAAGTCCGTGTACAAAGTAACATCGTGCTAAAAGCGACAACACATACCTAAACGCGACGCACTCGAGTAAACAATTAACGCGTAATTAATAACCGTAATCGCGTACGATACATCGGAACGTGAAGTGCCGTGTGTGTTTTGCTTACGACTTTGATTGACGCCATTTCCAAGATAAGCCCGTAAGTGCCTTGAATTTCCGGCGGAAACTTCGCATGGCGGATACCGCCGAGGCTTGAAACCTAGCACGATGTTTATCGCTTCCCAAGCACCAGAAAGGGGGAGGGGAGAGAAATCCCGCGTGTGTAACCACAACCTGCCCCCGGGAGAGTGACCAGGAACTGTCGTCGGACTCACCTTCCTCGTAGGGCTGCGCGCGTTTGGCGAACGCCCTCGAGAAAACGCCGCCGCCGCCGCCGCCGCCGCCGCGCGGCTTCGAGGCGTCCACGCCGTTTTCTACGACCGCGCTCATTTTCGCGAGTGGTTCTTCACCGAGCGTGCGTTTGCCGTGGACGTATCTGAAATTGACATATTACACGAAACGTTCTCATGAAAAACTATTGAAAACGATTATTGAACGCTCCCGGCGCTCTTCGACATTCGGTCCCATATCGAAACTTTTCGACTCGACACGCCAGTCGACCGGATATTGGATTTCGGCGGAGGTATTCAAATTTCAAATGCTTATATCATGAATTAAGGTGCGTTTAATATAAAGTAGTAAATAATAAAATAATTTAACAAAACTAGACTCCGCGAGTAAAACGACTTTCTGCGAATCAGTTGGTTGTCTTATTAACTCTAAGTTATTATTACCCCACGATTCTGGAAAATCCAAGCAAAAAGATAATTTTTTTTTCAGTTATACAAAAGAAAATTTCTTCTGCTTTAAGACTTTATAACTTTTTCCTATTTTTGGTCCCAAAATGAAGTTCCTAGATAGAATTACGGTAGTTCGTTAACTTAAGCAGATTTTGGCGTTTTAATTAAAGAAGATAAAAAATATGTCTGCCTGAGATATGTGCAGATAAAGGTGTTCTCTCAGACTTAATGAGAGTAACGACGTAAGCAAAAATTGAAGATAATAATCTAAGGTTAAGCGGCTTTTCCTCCCTTTGTGCTGCGTTGAGAGGTATATACTGATTATGCAGCGTACGATGTGGATTTATATGTAATCTCATTAACCTTTCGTGATTAGTGCATTAGCGTAAGACCACCACAATTTACTGGCGGCGCTCGTCGAATGCATAATACAAGTGCGGTTTTCACGCTGCTCCGGGGGAATATAATGGCAAAATTGTAGGGGTACACGTCAATGTGTTAATTAATGTAATTTATACGGTTCTCTCTCGCATCTGACGCCGCGTAAAAGTTAGTTTGTGTCAGTAACTCGTGCTCGAACAACTCGTATAGATAGAACCGCGTCGTCGCAGATATCACCCACATTCACAACGACAAGTTAATTTGTGCGCTACGATTAGTGAGTCTCTTTCTCTCTAATTAAATTTAGATTGCCGGTTATGTATGTGTATGAACGGAGGGAACATTATTATAGAAAAATGCCGTCGATCTTTATCAATGCTCGGAAGAATCATCATCGATATAATTACGTTTTTTTCGTATATCATTTCTATTTAATTCAAGAAAAATTTAACAATTGAACGATTTCATTAAGATAGAGAGAAAAATAAATGGAGTTTCCTGCAAGTTCACTTTAATTCGCTTTCCGGGCACTTAGACTTGGCGCGCGCGTATCAACATTCGCTTCAGGAAGCTGCATTATCATAGAGGCACTGTCCTCGCGCAAGCTTATGTTTACGTAACGCAGCACCGCATGCACAGAGAGACCCTCGTTACTCGCCTCGGGGATGACGCCATTATACGGAAAGTCCGTATTGGCGGCCGGCGAGCAAACGACTACGAGCATATAATAACAGCGTGCGCTCGCGCTCGCTGCGCGCCGTCGATATACTCTCCCCGAAAACGGCGCGGCACCCCCATATTACACGTCATCCTGTGCACACACGTGTGCGAGCGCGCGCGCACGACGTTAGCGCGCGTATCGTCACCCCTCTTGTCGCCTCGAGACCCCGCCGTCGTTCATTCGATCGTCATAATTTATCATTACGCACGGGGAAAGACGCGCTCGATAAATCCACGCCGTGTTCGACCGCGTTAGCATTGATTTATGCACTGTGACGTGTGGTGGTACACGGCCGTAAAGGGAGATCTATCGCGCGCCCTTTACCGCGCGCGTCGGTCGGCATTGGAGATCAACCCTTCCGCGCCGGCGTGCGTGCGCGCCGGAGAGACCCGATGGAAAAAAAAATGTCGACTTTTCATTTCGTACGTGACCCTTCCAGTTCTGAAATATTCGGCGCGATACGATCGTCATACACGGAACGACGGTGCCAGTGACAAATAATCCGGCGAGCGCGTGTAAAACGAAGGTCTGAAATTCGAGGGAGAGGCGGGGGGGAGGAGCTCGCTGCTTCACAAAAAAGCTCGGATCAATTATTCAGAGAGGCAGCGACGTTTAACACATTTATTAATTATAGTTTTCGCGAATTCACTTTCGGCGAGTTGGCTCAACGGGCAGCGTTAAAGGATTTAGCAGTTAGTAATTTCGTTGCGGAGTTTAACTTTGATTATGCGATTTAGACTATTTTTGCATAGCAATGCTCCAATCTGAATAAATTCGCGTGCTCCGCTCCGCTCCGCGGGCGGGCGATTAAACTAAACGTTTCGCCATTTCAATTTCTGCCCGCGCGCGCCCGCGATTGAATACGCTTTCACATTTAGCGCGATGCACGGCGATAGCACGTAACGAAACGGTTAAACAATTTCGTTTGTTTCATTGCTCCGCATTCACACTCGAGTTAGCGTCGCATTCAGAGCTAAGCGCTGCCGTCCGTCCGAGACTTTTTTCATTAGCGAAATTTTCATTTAGCGAAAAACAAAAAAATTTTCCCACGGATATTTCATGTCGTCCTTTATTTATTTGTTTATTTTTTTAAATAAATATCGAAAATCACAGACGCGTAACATGAACGGATTATTAATTTCGAGGGAAATCTTCGTAATTTGTCCGAATAAATCGAGATGGAGACGTGTTCACCGTTTTTTTCATTACGAATCCAATCAACGGATTAACGGATTAAGGAACGCGTTGCGAGATATCCCATTCCCGTGCGAGGCATTAAAAAAAAATTGGATGTTTTATTATTCTAGTATATTTATGTCTCGACGACAAAAGCAGCGTGGGGATTGCATTACGTGGGCGTTTAGACTCGATAAATTCTTGCGGGGTTGCGAGTCGACGCTCCTGATTTATGTACCGCGACAGCAGAACTCATAAGGGAGATCTATTGTCGTTTTTCCATTCTTTCTTCCCCGTGGTCCCGTGGAGCTACGCGCGGAAATCTTTGTCGGTGATTTTCAACTTGGTAAAGATTTAAGATGGCAACATCCGCGCGAAACTTTGTCTTTACTAGATGGAGTATTATTGTTGCGTCGCCGTACAGTGGAATCTTATATTTTTTTGACTTATATTTTTTTAACACGTTTTTCGTAAACTACGAGTAAGTGACTCCTTAAAATGCATAAGAATTATTCTCTACGGGATACGTTTGTTAATTACTCGAAAAAAATATTCTGTTTCGTTAATGCAAATTATTATTGTACAAGTATTGCGGACCTTCCTGTTTTCTATACCGTTTCCAGAGAATTTTCTCTACCTATTTAACTTGAGTAACTTTATGTATTTCGATCGAACAATCCAGACTGTTTTTTGTTTGTTATTGAAGCTTATTTCCATATCGTGCGATTTATAATTGAGAAGCTCGTGTAATTCTATCTACATTAGCTGCGTTAATAAACTTCGAGTGAGCGTAACATGATGGAAATGAAGTTCACAGCGTACCGTGAACCGCGGAGAGAAATTACTCGCTCGCTTTACGGTTTCATTCGTATTGATGAACTTCCGCGAATAAACACTTTCGCGCTGACGAAAGAGGGAATAAAGCAGCCGAGGTTGAATAGAAACGATAAAGTCGTGAATGAATTGAGCCACATCCCGCAGAATGGAATCAACCCATAAATCGGAGGATAAAGTCAACTACAGAATTAAATACCATCCCCCAAATTAGAGAGAGATTTAAGATTATAAATAAACTGAAACAAAGTGCAGTATGAAATCGATAAAGTGCAATATACAAGATAAAATAAATAAAATTAAATTAAAAGAAATTATTTTTTGTTGGAAACTTGCATTTGCAATTTTTCAAGGCTTAACGTGTCTATTCTTTTAATATGTTACATATATATATATTTAATGTAAAAATTATTACACAAAAATACGTAAATTATTAATAATAATTACACAAATTATTGAATAAAAAACAACGAAGTGACTGTCGAATAAACGAACTTTTCCAAGACACAATTTATGGTATTCTATAATAGATCCCTTCTTATCCCTCAAGGACGGATAATAGGTAATGACCCAGCTGTGTTTCACGATGGAGTAATAATTTGTGTTATTACATCCCTAGAAAGTGTTATTGTCAGGTTCGGAATTACGGGAGTTTGCTATCGCTATACGACCCCCTGGTGCCCAATTTGAAAATGGACACCACCACCGGCCGCTTTGACGATCCCTTTAGCCGTACTCATTTGGGAAATGACGAAGTTTCGCCTGCTTTTCTTCATAAAGCAGTTTGCTAACTGCCGTATTGAAAGTCCGATTGGAAGTTGGATTTAATTTGGCGAGAAGGACCTTTAGGTAATAATAGATTGGACACGTTTAATTAAAAAGGATGTTTTAAAGATTGGGGTTGGCGAGTAAAATGTATGCGCAAAATTATAAAAAAATTTTTCTACGCACTGATTCTTGTCCGATATAACAGGGTCTACTAGGGATAATTCTAATTATTAAGGGTATCGTTCATGATGATTCATTCCGGCTATCGAATCTACAGAGAAGTAAAATAAATGGAAAGGACACAACAGTATTTGATATATCGGCGGAAACGACCGAGTCACCGACATTCTCCGCTTTTCTTTCCCGTGTATTCCGATCGATCGCGCTCCTCTCGAAGGGCCGGCCAAGCTCGACATCGTAAATACAAATTACGACGCGACCCGTCGTAGTCGTACCTTCGCGTTTTCGTGTAACGAGATACATGAATTAAATATAACGTCAGCCGACGAGAATCTTATGGACCGACGTTCCTCCTAATTTCTTATTATCCACGGAGAGTATTTATTTCTATCTTATACCGCGTCCAGAGACGATCTGACGCCGCATTCGCATTTCTGATTTGCAATTTTGCAGCGAGCGTTTCCTCTCCCGCGACCAGGGAATTCGCGCCAGCTTTATATCGCATCTAATTTACCCCCGATGGCGCGAGTCTTCTCAGGAGCAAGTAGTTGTCTCGCGGAACTAATTACCGAGAAACCCATTCCGAAATT